GCACCCTGAAGGTTCCACAGGCACTCCGGGGCTGCCCTGCGCCTGGCCGCTACTCGCCACATTCTCAGACTCTCTGCACCCTAAAGAAGCTTGCTTTCCTGGAAAGCAGTTGTCCCCACAGCCACACACACACACTCCAGGGCTCCAGGTCCTTCAAGAAAAGGGGCAGGTGGCGACCACCGTGGAGCGGGCTGAACTGTGGGCATCTGCCTTCGCTGCTCTGGACACTGCGACGCCCCATGGAGCCGTGCTGCACAGGCTACAGGGGATGTCCATACTCTACAAGCTCACAAAGGGCAGTTTCAGAATCTTGCATCACAGTCAAGGCTGAGCCCAGGGCTCCAGACAGCACAGCCTCATCTGTGCCCACCTGGGCTCCAGCTTCCTCTCCAGGGCGATGTCGCCAGGGCACTGCCTTCCAGCTTTCCGTTGTTGAGTGATTGCAGGTGTCGGTTATACTTCTGCCAGCTACCCCAGCACTGAGATTTTATGAGTGGGTATAAACATTTGCTCCAATTCTCCATCTAAGGTTAAGAAGCTACCCTGAAACAAGTATGCCACAACACATGTGGCCGTGTAATCCCACAGGTAGTCCAGTGCATACATGGAACACACGTGTACAGGGCCTGAGGAGCACGTTGCCTTACACTGAGCCTAGATGGGTTTTACTCAGCAAATTGACTTTAACTTTTAAAGCTATTTAACTTATTCAACATATTCATTTTTTTTTCCAGTACTGTGGATTGAACTCAGGACCTGGCACTTGCCAGGCAGGCCCTTATGCCACTGAGCTATCACCCAGCCCTCACACATTCACTTTTCATATTTTTCATATTTAAGCAAAAGTCCACACGTAGCTTATTTCCCACTGTCTCTGCCATGAACTGGCTTAGCCCATCTGTTCTGCATTTCTCTAGTCTATACCAAGATTTTCCGTTATGAGATTTCAGCGACTTGGCCCCATGGCCAAGCCGAGGTCTTGTTTTTTAACAGGCAACCGAAGAGGCGGCTGCTCAGCCTCACCTCAGGCACTGGCTGTCCCAGAAGGAGAGGGGATCTCTAAGAAGGACATAACCGTGCAGGGCCAGGGAAAGTCTCTGTGAAGACCGCCAGCCCCGAGGCACCTGACAGTCACTCTTACGTGTGGATGTCCGCCCTGAGACCCTCAGGTCTCTACTTAATCTTCATCTCAGAAGAGCGGAGTTTGGTTTCTGTGCAAGTCTGATTTCTGAAGAAGGATTTAGTTGGTAAATGTCTGCTTCATGTATGCCAGGGACGATGGGGAGTGACCCTTGCTGGTAAGCGTGTGGTTAACAGGAGGGAGACAGCATCTACTGACAGAGCGGCAGCAGCTCTGGGCTGAGGAGGCCGACTCTCCCACTAACGGCCGCGATGGCTGGCTCACCAGGCCGCTGGCGTTCTCATCTCCACTAATCCCCACTGAGGTCTGCAGCAGCAGCTTCTGTGACTCAGGGCGTGCAAAGGGTCCACTCTCTTCACAAGAGCAGCCCAGGAACAGAGTGGCATCGATGCACCCACATGCACATCCTGCCCCGTGCCTCACCCAGCCGAGGAGTGACAGTGTGTGGCCAGAGCTGTGGGGTGCAGGTCAGCCTCAACGCCACCACGCCCGAGAGAAGGGCAGCCCGAGACAGCAAGTCTGCAGGGCTCAGCAGCCCTTCCCTGGCAGCCAGGCCGCAGGCGCCCCGTTCCAAGCGGATCACTGGATCATGGACAGAGAGGCCCACACGTTCATTCCTCGCATGTGATCCACTGAAGGGCAATTTATAGTTTTCCTACCCTAGCACTGAAGGAAAAGGTAGGCTAATGGAAAATGCTGGGGTACTGAAGCACACAGTAGGCACAAGGCCTCTTGGGAGACCACAGGACTCAGGTGAGCAGCCCCAGCTGAACTGGAAACAGCACACCCAGCTGAGCCCAGCTTCCTGATGGGCAAAACAAGGACAATGAAAGTGCCTGCTTCATGAAGTCGCTGCAAACGCCCCCCACAGACTGTTTTAAAGAACCTGGGCACGACCTCTCCAGCTAAATGCTCAAGAGAATTCTGAAAGTCGTCCACACAGAAGACATTGGGGGCTGGTGTCCTGTGGGGTCACCTGTCTGCTCACAGTGATCAGAGCAGCGCCCATCTTCGTGTGGCTGAGTCAGCATGCTGCCTGGACAGTGACGGGAAGTCTGACAAATACTGCGATGTCACAGCGTGTGGGGGACTCACACAGCAATACCAATGAGGCTGCCTGTGCTTATCGGGACACCGCAGTGCTAGCAGTTTACTTCTCCACTTGCAAAATTTCTTTTTGAGTTACTGAAATCCATTCAGAATTTATCTGTTGATAACTGGTCATTTTCAGATGTCACATGCCTACCTCCCAGACAGAGAATGACAGTACCATACTCAAACTTCACTGCTTGAGTGGCCACTACATGTGCACATGTGCGCACGCACACACACACACACACACACACACACTCTAAGAGCCCACCGAGCCAGCAGGGGGAGGCAGCCAGCACACGTACCGCCCTGGCCCTGCTGGCAGCCTTTCCTTCTGAGGACGTCTTCTACAGAATTCTCAAACACCAAATGGATGTTCTGCAGCAAACCCTGCGAAGATACACAAATAGGAGCATCTGCTGCAAAGATAACTGGCAGTTTTCATGTACGAGCAAAGCTTTTCCAATGCTATATTGTCTCCTCTAGTTTAGAACACGCAGTTTGGGAATCCTGCAATCTGTTTTTCTGTCTCTGTTACTTTGGAAACTTGGCTTTAGACATGTCACAAAAATATAACTTTCATATGAAAAATCTGCTTGCCATAAGGAAACACTCCACAGAAGAGCAGAGGAGGCCCAGGGGACCCCATGAGTCAGGTCATCTGACCATGCGCAGACAGACATTCAAGGCCCTTCGGTGCATGGTGCTCAGGACTACAGCATCCTCTTCTGTGGCTGAGACCTCAGAAGCACTATGGGCCCACTTGGATGTGGGCTCTGGGTCTGAGGTGGCACTCGGAAGCACCAGACAGCTGCAGGAGCCTGGACACCACAAGAGAGGCATCCACTGACAAGCCACAAGTCCGAAGGCCTTTCCCTCACATAACACGGGCCTGTCTGGAGGAAGCTGCTGTACAGATGCCCCTGGATCTACAACAGAATTTCATCTAGATACACCACTGTGGATAAAAACATCGCAAGCTGAAAGTGTTTATTACTCCTAATCTACAGAACATGTTCTGAGGACCAGGGAGCCTGGCACCTGTCCTGGCACCCTGCATCCACTGCCCATCCGCTTCACAAGATGCTCAGGCCACACAATGTTCGCCCCAGAGAGTCCCACTTCCAACTCTGAAGGACGGTGTCTCCCAAAAGCACACACACACCCACCAACTGGGGACCAGGAGCAGAGGGCACAGTGCAGACGCTGCAGCGGGCCCTGACTGCACACTGGTGTAGGACGACCCCGCTCCGAGCTTCACCGCAGGGACGCGAGCTGTGCTCTCATCAGCCAACAGCTCCCACGTAGGAGAGTCTTTACTTAGCCCTCCCCAGTTTTGTTTGCAAAGAAAGGACCTAGCGGTGTGCTCAGTCTCAATCACACAATCCTGGGGCTGCCAGAAGCCAATGACAGACTGACTTCTGGGCCCGCGGCTGACCTCAGCCCCAGGCGCTGGCCACCAGTGCGGGGAGCAGCGACTGAGGCACCACTTCCCACTGCGTGGGAGGGGTGTGCTCCGAGTGTGCGTGCAGGTGTGGCTGTGTGTGCGTCCTGTGCCCCTGGATGCCCCATGGGAGCGCACAGGTGTTCCTGAGCATGGTGGCAAATGGGTGTGCAGTTCTGCATGGTTGTTTGTGTGCACAGTGCGTGATGTGTTGTGTGCACCAACACTTGTGCAAGCGCATGCGAGTGCATGTGTGGTTGTACGAGTGTGTCTATCTGTCTGTGAGAGGTGTGTGAGTGCATGTAAGTGTATATGAGTGTGTGCCCATGTGTGGCATGTGAAGATTCTCATGTGACTTACATAATAAGTGTGAGTGCCCGCTGGTGGGGTGTGTGTGTGTGTGTGCCGTGCCCACTTCCAAGGTGCAGCTCCCTCTGACATAACTCAGAAACTGCAGTCAGGCTGCGTTGCCCCAGTGGCTCCCTCACTGGCCAGCTGCCACCCCTCGCCATTACCCAGAGTACGCACCCTGAAGTGACTCTCTCGGGTCGCTCCCTTAGCCACATACATCCTGCTCCTGTCTGCCTCCAGCTGCTCATAGAAGGGCTCATCCAGCGAGAAGCTGTCCACGAGGTCACAGCCCACATACAGGCTGTAGGTCTCGCCGGCCACCTGCACAGTGACATTCTTCCACTGGGAGTCAGCCAGGCCCACATCCTCCAGGGACACCACATGTGGGGTGCCCTCAGCCCAGTAGGTGAGATCCAGGGCATCAGCTGGGCCATTGGAGACGATCTCAAATTGCCTCTGGGAGGCACCAGGGCCCTCCAGCGCCAGCAGCGTGCCGCGGGACCTGGGGTCCTGCTTTAGCTGGGCAGTGAGAAAGAAGCCGTCCTTCCGCCTCATGGCCTCAAGGATCCTGTCCAGCTCAGCTGCATTCACAGGGGGGATGTAGTCAAACCTCACAAAGCGGTATGCAGGGCCACCGGGGTCGGGTCCTCGGAACTGCTTGGCACCAATGGTCTTCCGGTTTATGTTGCTGATGCTGAAAAGGTCGAAGACAGCATCCTCTTCCTGCTCACCAGCTGCCAAAGGAACCACAGTGGGACAGTCTCCAGCTGCCAGGACTCGGGGACAAGCCGCAGCTTTCCCGGTACAGAACTCTCCAGGTCTCCCAAGGGTGCGGGGGCTCCCATGGCAGGGGCCGAGGGGTCCTGGCAGCGGGCTCGGCCCCCTTCTGATGGGTAAGGAGAGGTACCAGGGAGCAGAGAGCCAGCATGCCCAGCCAGCAGCCCACCCAGCCCGCAGGCCCTCCTGCACCACACTGCCTTCACTCCTCACCCCACTGGCCTGAGGGCAGCCACTCCCCACCACCCAGCCCAGGGCGCCAGGGTACAAAGCCCAGACCTGCACCCTTGCTCGGGAGGCCTCTAAGGGCAGAACTGAACGTGCTGGTGTTTTCTTGGTGTGTTCGATCTTGGACAAACTGTAAGCAGCAGAGTGACTTTATGAAAAGGGGGCCTCGCATTTATCAGCGAGTGCTGTTAAGTCAGCACCCAGCTGAGGGGAGTGAGCAGGTCTCACCAAAATCTTAACAGCATGAGAAAGTCAAAGAGTGCACAGGGTAGACATTTTACAAAAGAATAACTTTTTCCAATTAATAGCTGGCACATTAAAACATAATGAGTACTAGTGCTGGCAGAAGCGTGAATTTTGCCACATTCTGTAGTCACTGGAATTTGTGAAAACTTTTGGCTACTATTACTAAAACGGCAATTCTATTTTTATAATTCAACCAAAGGAAATAATGGAAAACGCTAGTGTGATTTATTCACAATGACGTTCTTTGTGTCTTCACTTATACTAACAAAAATAAAGTAACAGTCCACAGAATACTAGTCTGGGGTTTGCCTGCGATGGAGTACTATACAGTCAGTAAAAATCATGTTGCATGAAAATACTTAAATAATTTAAGCAGACAGCAAGTAGGAGGGAAAAGGGTGAGTGTGGTGCTGCAGAAGTGGGTAGAGGGAAAGCAGAGCTTCATGCAGCAGGAGTCCCTTCTTGCTGAGCGGGTTTCTCCTGATAGCAGTTTCCCCAAAATACGTCATTCCATGCCGCATGGCTCAAAGCTGCCGCCTCATCCACCCAGCTGCGGCTTGGCTCCTGCTTGGGACTTGCCACACTCACCGAGAGTGCCTGCACACGCACACAGAGCCAGCAGCGCCAGCCCCCGGAGCATGGTGCCTCCTGCCTCGCCACCTGGGAAAAGAGCAGCCTCGTCAGTGGGAAGCACTCCCGAGGCCTGGGGCCGACCGGGTCAGGTCACTGCACGCGTTTGCAGGCGCCTACACCGAGCGGGAGCTGAAGAGCCCGTGCAGCTACCAAGACTGGGGGAACGTTCTTTCCAAAGAAGATTTTCCTAATCTAGCTCACAATCCCTGGGCTAGCACTCCCAGACACCCTACACGTCCCCGGAGTTCGGTCCTCCGGGTGCCCTGCGGGTAACTGCCTTCCCTGCTGGACCCATTCTGCAGCTGAGCAAGTGAACGCGGGAAGGGCGAAGCTTGCTGGAGTAACTCTTATGAACCGTGCAGCCGGGCTTGGGTCCAAAAAGCTCCAATTCAGGAAAACATCCAGGCTGGTGTAATACTCTGTGAAGGCATTTTGTGTAAATATCCAAAGGAAAAAAACAGTGATGCATAACTTAATTAAGCAGAATCAATATTAACTAGATATAAAAGTTAGAAATAAACAAGCCGGCACGTCATTTTTATGAAAAACAGAAGATTTTACTTAGCAACAGTTCTTGCCCTACTTTCCTACTTTCCTGCAGGCCTGTTTTTCCGTTCTTGGGGATTCTACTTTGGCACGCTTCAGCAGACACTGGACCAGAAGTCAGGAGGCCTGGACCCGAGCCCAGCGCGCCGTTAACTCCTCGTGGTCTCGGGAGCCCCGGGGCGCAGGGGGGCGCGCGGCAGGGCGGTGTGCACTGCGCATGCCCTTTCCCTGTCCCCAGTATTGGCTCCTTCAGTTTTCTCTGTGTAGAGAGATCCACTGAGTCCCCCTCCCCGGCACACCGAGCAAGCCGGACACAAAGGAGGATTTCTGACTCCTGATCCTTCCAGCGAGGGGGTGCCTGACGCGCCCAGGCCGGACCACAGCGGGACCCCGCCTGCGCCGGAGGGCAGTGAGGTGTAACGCAAGTTCCACACAGCCCAGGGGCCTGAGGCAGAGATGCGCCCCCTCCCCCAGCAACCTATTTCACCTCTCTGCCTCAGTTTCTTCATCCGCAGACAAGAAGAAAGTACCGGAGTTGTTCAAAATACCTGCCCAGAGGGGTCGTCTGAGCAGCGCACCCAGCGAGAGCACATCACAGGTGCTGCTGCGCGCAGGGTGCCCACGGGCACCGGCGGGAGCTTCCTGCCCTCTCCTCCAGGGGGCAGAGGGATAGCAGAAAGCCGCAGCCGCGCCTCTTCATGAAGAGCTCCTAGAGGGGCCGCGGCAGAACGCAGCCAGGCACAGTCAGCACCGCCGAGAGCTGACGCGAAGCACCGGGGCGCATCTGCCGCCTGCGCCGGCGCCCACCCCGCCCTGCTCCGGGGCGCATCGCCCTCCAGGCCCAGGAGCCGCGTCCTCTGCCCTCGCGGGGCACCGCGGCCGGCTCTGCGCAGAGAGCTCCCGCCAGAGACGCGCACTCGTTGGCTCAGGACGCACAGCATCAGAACTCCAGGCTGAGGCGCAAATAGAGCCGCTTTGACAAAGGCAAACTGCCTGTCCTGGGTAAGGCTGGTTCTTAAAGCAATGCGGGAGCCACAAAGAGTCAGAGGTCTGCCTTTGTCACAAGACAATCCCTTCTCATCTTGGACATGTGGCAGGAAGCCTGGCCCCTGCAGAGGCCCGGTGCCACCCAGGGGTGCGAGGCCAGACAGCGGCGCCATGCCCAGCGGGCGCGCTCTCCTGGCCCGACCTTTCTCCCTGGCGCATCCCTTCTCAGGGTCTGGGGTATACTTTCCTGGGGCTTTCTGAAGCCTTTGGGCAGCAGAATATATTTGATGTTTGGGAAGAATCTTCAAATTCTTTTTCTGTGAGCAAAGTGGAAAATGACTTCGCTGAGAGGTATTTGTGTAGCCCCATGAACCGCCGTGTGGTGAACCACGGGGCCCCAGGCCCGAGCTCAGCCTCCGCGGTCGGTCGGGGACCAGAACACAGTCCCCAGAGCGGGCTGTACAAGCGGCCAGCTCCCTTTTCATGTGCAAATTAGGCTTCACACTTAGCAGCAACCCTGTTCCCTGGCAGCATAGTGCTTCCCACAGCCTCGCTGCAAATTGCTAACAGCGAGCCCCAGCCGACACTTTTCCAGCTGTTCATAATGTTTACAGCTGTAATCTCTGTGCACATCCCTAAGGGTTCTCACATTTTCAGAGGACCGTTTGTAATTCCTTCCTCATGGTCCTTCCTCAGTAACAGATTTCATGTGGAAACTTTTTATTCCAAAGCTGCAACTGTCAGCGTCTGCCCAGGCTGCCTGCAGCAGGTACAGCAGGCCAGCCCGAGGCACCCAGCTAGCACGTACGCACAGCTTGGCCGCTGCACACTCAGTGCCCGGGACTTGAGCTCGGTGTGACAGCACAGGATGAGGACGTCCCGGCTTTCTAGGTGTGTGAGGCCACACCACCCTTGTAAAGTAGGAAGCTGTTCTGCACTTTTTTCTTCTGTCCACCTTTAAATCAAGAGCCTTTCCTGAAAGTTACAACCCTCTGAAATGACTGAGTAAACTGAAAAGTGTGCCTTACCTGTCTCAAAAGCTGGGTGAGTTCTGAGTTGTGTTCCAGGTCTGGCCGCACAGTACAGACAGCCGAGGTCCCACACACAGTCCGGTAGCCACGACTGGCTGCAGGCAGCAGCCCACGCCTTTATATGCTTTTTCCCGGAGAAGCCCTGTCAATCAGACCCTTGAGGACGCACGTTTAATTCATTCCTTCGAAGGAATGACATAACTCCTCCTTCTGATTGAACCATTTGCTCCCAGTACCTGCAGCTGGAGTCCAAGTCCAGCCTCTCCGCGCTGGACTCCGCCTCCCCTGTGTCCACCCAGGGCCTCCAGACGGGGGACTGGGAGGAACCAGACACAGAGGGGAATGCAGGGACTCACTTTTCCTGTCTTTTCTCAGGAAATAAAATGCTATAAATAAAACTAGTAAGTTTGGCTCTGCTGAAACTTCCACTTTGCTTAAGATAAAAAAAAAAAAGAAAGCTCTATACTTTAAATATGTTTCACATTACTCATTGTGAAAGCAGTCTTTCTAAAGTAAGCAAGCAACAACAGATAAGACACAAAAAGACCAGCAGAGATGAAAGACTGCCTTGATGAAGTTGTTATACACAGAGATTAATTTTATCATGTGCAAAAAAATCTAAAGAAGCCAACAAGTTTTAATTCTGGACAGTTAGAAACTGAGAGATGATACTGCCTGTTAGAAGCTGGTGTTAATCTACAGCTGCCCCTGTGCCCAGACGGGACCCCACACAAATCGCCCCACAGCTGTCCATCCACACCCTGGGCCCTGTGGAACCTTCTGTCCCAGTGGCTAGAAGGACCCACAGTGGGTGGAAGGGACCTCCGGTAGAGAAGGCTGCTGTGCGAGAGGGCGGGGCTGGAAAGACCTGAACACGGCGACATGGCCAACTTCCTGCCATGGCCATGGCCACCACCAGGTCAGCATGCACAGAGCGCAGTTGGACATAACGATGAGTGGACGGCAGATGGGAGAGGGGCATTTCCTGGGGTAGATGGCAGACAAGCAGGAGGTTCAGAAGTCCCCTGGTCCCTTGCTGGCTTCCCGGGCACGGAAGGACTGGGCACTTGTTCCTGGCAGACGTGCGCTGGTGGAAGTGTCTTGCCTGAAGAACGTGAGTGAGAAGGTTCTGGAAGGAAGCCCTCTGCCCTCTGTTCTCATTGTGGCTGGGGCACCACGCAGGATCCTGGATGGCTTCTCTGCACCCAGCTAAAGCCACCTGTCCTATGTCTCCAAGCACACTTGGCTGGAAGGGACTCATGTAGCTGCCCAGAGCCCAGCCAAAGCCACGGAAGGCTTCACAGAGGTCGCCCATGCTGATGCTACCTGGTGTTCTGGGAAACACAGGAGGCAGAGATACAGGGTAGATGCACAGTGTGCGGAGGAGCAGGAGCACCCAGGGCAGAGGGCACGGCGGAGCTGGCACAGAGGCCCTGGTCCCTGGGCAAGGCCACAGGCCAGAGGTTGTGGAGCTCGCTCCATGTCTCCTCTGTGGACATACAATGTCATTAGAGGAAGAATATTAGGCTGTGGTGGCAAAACCACAAGGCCAGCAGTGGCCCTGGAAAATGGGCTGCCAGGTTCTCCTGCAGTGCAGAACTGGGCAGAATACCACAGGAGGCTAGGCAGCAGGTAGGGCCACGGGAGGAGTGGAAAGGAAGAGCCGTAGAGGCTCTGGCCAGATTTCACCCCTTAGATGTCATGTCCAGCAGGGCCAGTGAATGGGAGCCTCTTGGACAGGGACCTTTCAGATGACACTGAGCAGGCAGGGCTTGCTGGAGGAGGCAAGCCTTCTCTTCCCAGGTCCTTATCTGAGCAGGACTTTGGGAACAGGCCAGGGAGTGCCCCTGATATGCAGCTGGGGGAGCCCATGGCCGTGTGTACCTGGACACCAGTGTTAGCAGCAGCACTGGGACACACAGGAGATGGGCAGGGTCCTCCCAGGACAGCAGGTGGAGCATAGCGCTGCCTGCAGACCTCTGGCTCCAGAACTGTGGAGATGTGTGCTACTTCACACCTCCTGGTTTGTGATGCTCACCGTGACAGTGCCAAGAAGCTCACCTTGCCCAGACAGGACATCCTGGATGCTGCTTGAAACTGGCCAGGTCGTCCTGTCCTCTCCAACACAAGGAGCCACAGCAGAGGTGCCGTTCCTGACAAGCGTTGTTCAAACCCAGTCAGGGAGAAGGAAGCAGGGTGGTATGCAAGTGGAGAACAGCCTATGAGAGGCTGAGGAGACCCCACAGGATCTGCTATGGGGCTGGCTGTGAGCACCCCCAGTGGGGTATGACCTCACAGTTACACAGGGCAGGACCTGGGGAAAAGAGCTGAGCAGGCCGGGGGGACAGCCCGGTCAGGCATCCAAATGACTGGGCTGCCAGAGCCAGGGCCCCTGAGGGCTTCGACTGCACCAGACCAGTGACTCCAGATCTAGAGACCAAGATCTGCAGCAAGAGGATTAAGAGAGGCAGAAGGGTAAGCAGGCAGGGCACACAGCAGGATGAGTCCTGGGAGCCACTGGTCCCCAAAAGGCAGCAGGCAAGACAAGACACCCAAGGAATAGAGGATGCCTGCAGGCAGGTGAAGATTTTGGGCAGATTTCCCAGAAGACATTGGTCTCACATCAGAGAAGGTGCTCAAGGACTCAGGACCAGCCTGGTCACCAGTTGGACTCCGTCTTCACCATCGTTGACCATCTTCCCTGGGACAGGTGCCAGCTGGGACCTGCAGGTACTCAGAAAAGACAGGACCAGTGCAGCTCTCACTGGGACCTGCAGAACAGCCAGATGGCTGAAACAGAGAGCCAACACCCACGGGGAGGCCCGGCCTCACTCCATGCCCAGCACTCCACCAGCCACTGCTGTGGGAAGGAGGAGCCAGGACAAGGTGCTCCAAAGGAAGGCATGGAGGACACAGAGCCCAGACAAGGGGCTGGAAAACCCAACTCCAGGCTCTGAACCTGTGATGGGGAGAGGCTCATGTGTCCATTTCCGGCACTGCTCTGGACTAGCAGAGCAGATGGGGAAGGGATGAGTTTGGGCTCAGAAAGGCATTCAAACATGTGGGTTGGTGGCCAGTGGGGACAGAGGAGAGTACAATCCCAGGTGACTAGAGTGCAGAGGTCCTCACCCACAGGCTGCAAGGGGGCCCTAGTGAGGGACAAAGGGGATCCCAGGCTCAAGGGCATCCATCTTGGCAGGGAGAGAACAGCCCTGTCTCCACTGAGTGTCGTGGCTGGTGGTGCCTTCTGCACTGCCTTGTGGCACCATCCCTCCAGGGCTCAGCTAGGGTCCAGTGAGTGCAAGGAGGGAGTGCAGGAGCTTGGGGACCATGAGAGGAGCAGGAGCAGCCTGCACATCCTGGAGCCCTGGGATCAGGACCCGGGCTCAGTGTCTGTCCACACAAGCTCCGGGCAATGGCTTCCCCAGTGCTGGACCACCATCATCTGTTTCCCACAGACTTCTGGGTCTGGAGACCAGAACAGAGAGTCCAGGAGTCTGCCACACAGAGCAGGACAGACTCTTTGTGTGGGCAGGACAAAGTTCAGGAGACCGGGAGCTGCCCAGGTGGCACCTCAGCCTCCCTTGGAGCCAGCCAAGTGGAGCCTTCATTTCCAAGCACCCACGGCACAGAGGTGCTCAGCTCTGCATGCAGGATTGAGAAATCCTTGGCCATCCGTGCAGCATGGGGAAGGACAGGGCCACGGAGACATCAGGCACAGATGTCCAAGCCTTGGACCTACAGATTCCTTGTGCCATCCAGATGCTGCAAGCCAGGTGGGAACAGGGGTCTGCAAGTGGGCCTGGGGTGCACCTGCCACCCACCGCTGACCATGCCAGGGCTTGGGGCACGAAGCAGATGTGTGCCCCAACATGGCAGGGACACACTCAAATCCCTCTGTCACTGCAGTCAGAATCACTGTCCAGTCTGAATTATATGCAGACCTTAAAAATCGTCACCCAATCAGAAGGTCACAGCAACCTTAATCTAAAAAAAAAAAAAAAAAGAAGAAGAAGAAGAATGGACAAGCAGATTTATAAATGAATAAACAGAATGACTGCCTACACCTTCTGCATGACCCAAGAGTGTGAGTTTCTGTGAGGAGTTTGGGGGACACAGGAAGGTAGGCAGCTCTAGCTATGCTCCAAGGGAGAAACTGATCGTATGACAAAGGACAAGGCCACCCTCCTGTGCCCATCACCCTCCTGGGACAGCCCGAGGGTCTGGCACTCCGGGAGCAGGCACAATGCACCCAGAAGCTGCCGAGAAGCAAAGTCACAACCGCAGACATCTGTGTCCTCTTAGTCTGTGCTGGATCAGTGCGTACGCCTCGGGCCTCTCCGCCTTCTCCGGGTGAGAGTTACGGGAATTGGCTGTCCTGACCAGGGACAGAGGACAACAGCCCGGCACTCCTATGGGTGCCAGGGGCTGGTAACAGGAGAACACCCCCTCCCCCAGGAAGCTGGTGGCAATGAAGACCAGGCACAGAGGGGGAGGGTTTGCTCCACTCCACGCTCCTCCAGGGTGGGAGGAGCTGATGCCATCCTGGAGGGTGAGCTGGGAGCCCTGGACAGCTGAGCCTGTGAGCAAGGCCTTCGCTTTTCCTGTACCATGGACCTGGCAAAACCTCTCCTGAGAGAGGATGGAGGAGGAATTTGCTGTAGACACGTGCTCCCCAGCCTCCTGTATCCCGCCCGGGCCAGGTCACCTCAGAGTGCAGAATCCACAGGGTTTCTGCAGCGTCAGGCCTTTTGGTTCTGATCCCTCCAGCAGCTCAGCACTGTGCCTACCCTCAGTGTCCTCAGACCATCGCAGGGACTCGGGTGCAAACTCAGCAGAGGTGGCCATGAATCTGAGCCAGGGCTCATGGCAGGTGCCAGTTGTGGGTCCCCAGTGCACTTTCGGGGTCAGGAAATGCAGAGGCACACTTGGGCTGTGTGCTTGCTTCCTTTCCAAGCCCTTTGCCGGGCCATCAAGAGAACAAAGCTGGTTGTTCACCTCACTCACCAGCACTTGGCTAGAGGGATCCTCAGAGGAGTGACAGGGCAACCAAGTGAACAGAGCTGTGGTACCCAAAGCACAAACGAGTACTTTCTCCCGCTGATGCCACCCAACCTGACCTTGTCCACTGGGACCCAGCCCCAGCCT